GTGAAGTCGGTTTAAGTTTAGGAGGAACAGTTTGGTCGTGATCAGCGCTTTTAAAATTTGTGCACGTCACAACTTTGTGCTATCTGACGCCATGCGCGTGGTCTCCACGTGCGGTTGTGCCATACGCGCGCGCGTGGCCGCGCACCGGCTGGCCGTTGCCGCCGTGGCCTTGCCACGGCTTGGCCGCTCTAGTCGCACGCTAGGCCGTTGGTCCGCTCTGCGCCCGACCGCCCCTGCCACCATAGCTGCCGCTGGTGCTGCTGCTGCCTCCGCGCCCACGCCGCGACAACGCCGCTGTCGCCACGGTCGCACCACCATGCTGCGCCCTGCCGCTGCGTTGCACCGCTGGCCCGCCTTGACACTACGCGCACATGGCTGTGTCGTCGTCACCTTGCCATTGATGGCACTGCGGCACGCGGGCCACTTCGGTCAGGAGCGTGCGTGTCTGTCGGCTAGTGCCTGTCCGCAGGCTACGCCGATCGCGCCAACCGTGTCTCGCCAAGGCACGCCCTTGCCGAGTCGCTGGCTGCCCCTCCCCTACCGTTCCCTCGCTCTCTTTCTCTGTTGTCTCTCTCTGCTGCCGCCGTCGAACCGCGCCATTAAATTCATCAGGGAGAGATCATCTCAAGACGATTCGTAGTGTTGTTGGCTCCATTGCACAGCTGCCTAGCTACCCGTCCCTACCCCACCTTGAATGGCGCCCAGTCGAGCTCTAATTTTGGAGTTTCCCCACTACCATGTCGATAAGGCCGCGTCTGGTCGTGGGTGTGGGTAGCTCTCCCATCGTCCATCTCGAGCCAATTCACCTGCACCACTAGCATCGCTTTGACTCCCTCTCCACCTTGCGCGCCTTAGTCGAACCACTACCGCCTCCTATTAGTCGCTGACACGACCATGCCGCTGCGGTGCGCTATCGCACGGCTTGGCCACACGTGGCCAGCCTTCCTCCATCATCTTCCGCCCCAACTATCACCTCAGCTTGGTCCATGGTAGCCTTCTGACGCTCATGCGCTAATCAATTAGGCTCGTAGCTGCCCTAGCCCACCGAAACAGTGGCATCGCCGTTGCGGATGGCTGCGCACCGCTGCAGCCTTCCCTAGCCAGTCCTGTCACGCTGCACCGCCTCTTAGCGTAGCCGCTCGGGTCAGAGATGATGATCAACCCGTTAGGTGGGACCACGCAGGTCCCATGTTACCGGCATAGGCGCTTAGTGCTGCCACTCGCCGCGCCGTCGTGCACTGAGTCATCGGGGTTGTGCATGGGTAAATTAGGGAAAGGCCAGGGGTTAAGGGAGAAGTTATGAGAGAGGGGAAAATAGTGTTAGTACTTATTGTAATTTGGAAGAAGTGCGAGGTCTATTTTGCAAAAATGTCAGCGCGCGCGAGGTTTCCCCGTCGCGGGCCGTCTTTGCGTGGGCCGGCGCCACGTGGGCTGCACCGTGGGCCGCCGTGCGCTCACGCGAGCACGCTGCATCGCGTGGGCCATGCGTATGGGCTGCGCTGGAGAATTCATTTTTCTTTTTCATAAGGATAAGGAATTAGAAATAGTTTTCTAATATAATTTTTGAGCTGATCTTTGGTAAATCATATAAAATCATGTAGGTGTCCAAAAAATATGAAATAAATTTTGTTAAGTTCCTAAAATTATGCTCTATCTGTTAGTGTACTTAGTTCATATATATACATGTTGATACCAGAAGCTATTAAATCATTTAAAAATATTTAATATTGTTAGGAGAATTATTGTAGGAATTTTTGTGGTAAATTGGTGATAGATTTAGCCCTAAAAATTATATAGCAGCATCATGGTATTATTATGTGCTCACTGCAATTTTTGTAGCTTTAGAATAGACTAAACATAAGGATAGTTAAATGCTATTTGTTTCAAATATACATTAAATCATTAGTGGAAATAAAGATATATCCTTCATTTGTAAAGCTAGGTGTCTGTTAGTTAAACCCAACACTTTGCTTGGTAAAGATGATAGTTAGCTTAGTGCCTTACTCATTAGAGCTAGCTTAGTAGCTTAGTATACGTATTCTTATTTTAAGAGTTGCTATTGCATAAATGCTAAGTGTTGCATCATCATCGCATGCATGTAGAAAACGAGTTGGTGGAGTTCATGACCACCGGAGAGTAGGAATACGAGGAGGTGATCAAGGAGTATGAGGAGGAAGTCCTTGTATAGAAGGAAGCCTCGGAGCCATCGACGACTGACATAGCTAACAATCCGCCTTCTCAAGGCAAGCTTCGGTGCATAACCCTTATTTTGAATAATTACTGGATATATATGTGTGATGTGTATTTACGTTATAGGATTTATATTGAAACTACATGCATAGATAAACCTACCTATGAGTCCTACTAGCATAGGTCGAGTAACTGCTATGCTTAGGCTATCGGTAGCATGAGTAACTTGTCGTTACTCATAATAGGTGATTATTATTATTACTCTCATGATAAAATGGTGAAAGGAAATAGAGACCGGGCAGGGATATGGTACGGGTATTGGTGGGTGTAATAGGTTGTGTTCCGCGGCCAACGGGGCATAGCTTGGTTACACTATTTTTTCTGTCCGTGTCGGTTAAGGACCGATCGTTGCTGTGGATGGTAGTTAGGTCACAGACTTATTATCCTGAGCACACACTTGCTTATGGGAGCGGGAAGGCTCGTTGTTCTCTGTCGTGGATTCTGGCTCTTTTCGAATCAACTGATTAGAGGCGGGGATGATGGAGGTCTAAGCACCACACTGAGTCTAGGACTCAGGAGTGGGGGCCTGGAGTTCAAGTTTAGACGGTGACCTAGACCTCTTGACAGGAGAGTGGTGGGTTAGTCTTGCTTGTGCCTGGGGTACAAGCGGGACGTGTGTTTTAGGGTACTCAGCTGGGATACATTGGTTCGCGAATCGTCGTGTGATACGGTACGACTTGGCTATGGTTTAGCACCGTAGTAAGAACTGGAAGATGAAAGAGGATGAATGGATCTGATTACTTAACTCTTGCTTAAAAGTAGAACAAGTGCTTACATAGAATATTTAGCTAATGAACTAATCATGACTGCTAATAAAACACATACATAAGGATTCACTACTGATAATGCTTTTCGCAAAAAGAAAACCTACCAAACCATAAAGCTTATCATATGCTTTGGAGTCGGGAAATTATTTTCACTAGTCAGATAAGTCTTGCGAGTATATTGTATACTCAGGGTTTATTTACCCCTATTATAGGTGCAGCTTGAGGAGTGGCTGTTGTGTGGATGATTCTTCTGATGGGCACAGACGGATCCTTATATCTTATCGTTAGATGTTTATTTAAATTCCGCACTATTAACTTGGTATGGTAATAATATATTTCCGAGAACTCTTTTTGTATGAAATGGACTAAGTATTGTAAACTCGTTCTTATTATTGGATTCTGGATGAAAAACGTGGATTGTTCGAGTTCTTCCTTAGGATGTACTCGATGGAACTATCCGATGTAGCCAACTTTCGGGATGCTTAGTGTCTAGTGGAAGACGAGCGCCTTGAAGGTGTGTTATTTCGAATGGTTCTGCCACACTTACCTAGCCTAACACTCTTTGTGTTGTGAGTTAGGGGCGGTTGGAGTACACGTGGGGTGACACACGATGATGTCCATGTACTATGTGTGTTTGGAAACTAAGCCAAAGGCGGCGCGACCTACGATTGCACATAATGGGATGCATGACAACGATGGGTGACCAAGGGTTTGTGACCAAGTGATTGTTATAGCGGAGGAGGCCTTTGAGCTGCAACACCTCCATTATTTGCTTTAGCATCTCAAGAAAAGTAAACATGAGTGACACATAGGATGAGGAGCTGTCCTTGAACTGAGAGGCATAAAAACATAGTATGCCATGTAAGATCAGGAGCGAGGACGAACTCATAAAATAGTTTGAGGGTTAAAATGGCCATCTTTGATACTTATTGATGAAACTAAACCTAAAAGTAAAGTTTATAAGAACTAAAATGACGGTCTAATACTTCCCTCCATTCAAAAAACTTGATGTTTTCTAATTTAAAAAAATATTCAAAAAACATGATGTTTTAGCTCCTGATTAATAAATTGGGCACATAAAAACTTGAGTTTGGGTCCTCTTCATTTCTTTTAACGAGAACTTATTTCTTAATTAGCATAGTTCATTTTTACCTTTTAACGAGTCTGTGGAGCACTAATATGTTTGGAAAAGTCTTAAAACTGTCGTGTTTTTTTTGACAGAGGAAGTAGCTTAGTACTCCCTCCGCACATAAAAAGAAAGCAATTTTTGTTTTTTTGATGCATCAAACAGATTAAACTTTGTCTAAAGTTATATAAAAATATATTAACATTCATAATACAAAATAAGTACCGTCAAATTCATTATGAAATATATTTTTATAATAAACTTTATTAAATGCATAAATGTTAATACTATTCATATAAAAATTTGGTCAAACTTAAACTATTTTGAACGATATAAATTTTATAGTTGCATATTTTTTAGATTGGGAGAGTAAGAAATCAAGTAAAATAAATAAACTTTAAAGGCCAAAACGGTCACTTTAATCTTTTAGGTCCCTTTAAAACGCATGAATTGTACAAAAATTTTACACGAATCCGTTCATTTCTGCGTGACGCAGGAAACAGGAAAATTTCAATCGATCAAATGGGGCCTTAAGATGAAATTGGGCATCCTGCCTGCGCACCTACACTGCATAACCGCGGAAGTTTCCAGGGCCATTATCGTAATTGCTCCTCCATTAATCCTAACCCACCGTTGCCCTAAAGTTTCGACGATCCGGCGACGCTACCCTTCCGTCGCTCCTCCCCCACCCACGAACCCTGCCGGAAGGGCAAAAAGGGGTTCGAAATCGGTCCTGATCCAGGAGCCAATCTTCTAGACTCCACCTCCCAAATCCTTTTCCCGAATCCGATCTGCAAGCCCTCCGATCCTGCATCCTCCAGCCGATTCCTGAGAAGATCTGAATCCTCCTCGCGACCATGGATCCACGCGCCAGGTATCCTCCGGGCATGGGCAACGGCCGCGGTGGGAACCCCAACTATTACGGCCGCGGTCCACCGCCGCAACAGCCGCATCAGCACCACCACCACCAGCAGACATCGGGGGCGCATCACCACCAGCAGTACGCGCAGAGGCAGCACCAGCAGCAGCAGCACCACCACAGCCACAATCACCATCAGCAACAGCAGCAGAACCACAGTCACCAGCAGCAACAGCAGCAGTGGCTGCGGCGGAACCAGATTGCCCGCGAGGCCGCGGGCGCAGCCGTGACCAGCGAGCCGAAGGCCCTGGCGCCGCCCACGGCCGCCGATGGCGTCGATTCGAGGTGAGATGACCTGAACTTAGGGCTTTGGTGATAGTGTCGTGTTACCGTCGTTCTTGGTGCGTTTTAGTACGTAGTTTAAGCACTTGGGGCCGGGCTTTGTTTCCCCTGGCAAAATCGAACCAAATGCAGCTTGAGGCTTGCTATCTGTGCGCAAACCCTGGTGATTGGTGTCTCGTATCGTTAATTTTTGTGGTTTATTGATAACCAAAGATGTCTTCCGAATTCTGATTCCACATAAGTTGGGACTGCTAAGACTACAAGGGTTTGCTGCATTTTAATTTCGTAATGACTAAACTAGGTGGCTATTAGTACCCTTTACTAGCAGCTAGTAAGGTTACCCTTCCGTCGACGCTAGTAACGTTGCCCTAAGGTCTAGTAACGTTCCTCTGGCAAAATTGAACCAAATGCAGCTTGACGCTTGCTATCTGTGTGCAAACCCTGGTGATTGGTGTCTCGTATCGGTAATTTTTGTGGTTTATTGACGCCCAAAGATGTGTTCTGAATTCTGATGCCACACAAGGCCTTGTTTGGATGCATGTGTATCCACTTCAATCCACATGTGTTGGAGTGGATTGGAATGGAACTTAGTTTAATTCCACTTCAACACATGTGGGTTGAGATGAATACATGTGCATCCAAACAAGGCCTAAGTTGGGACTGCTAAGACTAAGGTTTGCTGCGTTTTAATTTCTTAACTAAACTAGGTGGCTAGTAGTATCCTGTACTAGCAGCTAGTAACGTTTCCCAATTCTTTGAATGGTTTATTATTGATAGTGACATGATTATTAGCAGCCACTCTTGTGGAGATAGTTATACAGGAACTATGCTTGTCTATGTGCAGTTCGCAAGATTGGAAGGCCCAATTGAAGCTGCCGCCTCCAGATACACGCTACAGGACAGAGGTAAGTTATGGCATTTCAAGCCCCCCTCCCTGTTGCAATTTTAGAATGTTATAAATTCTTGCTCCGTGACTAGGGGCTCATGTTGGGTTTCAACTCTAGCCTACCCCAACTTGTTTGGTACTAAAAGGGCTTTGTTGTTGTTGTTGTATAAATTCTTGCACCATACCAACTACCCAAGTTATAGGTCACTTTAGCTGTGTCCTATGTCAAAACTTCTCTTACTTTGACACAGTTAAATGGAAACTTTACTTACATCCACAGGTTCAAATAAATGCAGTATCAAGGCATACTTCATGCAGAATTTAATGAAATTAATTTGATGTTGTAGACGTTTGTGATTTTTCTTGGAACTTGGTCAGGTTTACACAAGTTTTATTTAGGACAAAGCTAAAGCAACCAGCGGGAGTGTCACCCTAAACTTAGAAACAGTTAGTTTTCATCTGCACTTTGCCCTGTTATTTCATTGTTATTCTAGGAAAGGAACTCGATGCTGGGCTCAATTTTTCATTATTCCATTAAGATTCGTTGCAGCACTTGTCTTTATCCAAAGTAGAGTTAGTCTGTTGTAGTAAAAGTTCAGCGTAGAGTTTTTTTCTTTAGTTTTTAATCCTTACATCACACAGTCACAGTGGAATGTAGTTCTGATCGCCAGAAATTTCTGAGGGACCTAAATTTGATAAGTGTTCTTTTACAGCCAAGAGTCATCTTCAAACACCCCCATATTTGTGTAATTATTACATGGTTGATGGTATCTATTTGTGTAGTATTAGGATCAACTTTGATTCATCCTATTTAGCGATGCCAAGGGAATATGATTCACTATACAACTGTATATTGGCACTGTCTACACAATTAGTTGGCACAGTTGGACTCATAAATGTTGTGCTGCCCAGCTTTCTACACATGATTTTCTGAAGTTTCCTTGCGCATGGCATATTGACACACCTTTTTGGTCCAAAAGGGAAAAAAGTTCTGAAAAACTATGATTCGATTTATGTGTTATTTTTCTCCTCTTTACCACCTACAAGTTTGGTCTTATCCGGAGCCTTATGTTGTTGCTACTCTGCACTCGTGATTTATTATATTTTCCCCCTTTCTCTTTAAATATTTTTCAGGATGTTACAGCCACCAAGGGAAATGAGTTTGAAGACTATTTTCTCAAGCGTGAACTCCTAATGGGTATATATGAGAAGGGATTTGAAAGACCCTCTCCTATCCAAGAGGAAAGCATTCCTATTGCTTTAACTGGTAGTGACATTCTTGCAAGAGCGAAGAATGGAACTGGCAAGACTGCTGCATTTTGTATTCCTGCACTGGAAAAGATTGATCATGAAAAAAATGCTATTCAAGGTCTGTTCTAGACTCTGGAACTTTATTTGATATCCAACGAATTTGAAAGATTCTAGGATGATTTAAACTTGATCTCTTCCATAGTGGCAGTGGTCTTATTTTATTTTTCATTACTCAGGTTCCTTTTTTTATGTGCATGATTGTTCTTTGATATTTAGATGTAATTTTCATTGCATATTTCATGAAAATGCTTGAATAAGGTCTCTATGATTTGCAGTTGTTATATTGGTTCCCACAAGGGAATTGGCTCTACAAACATCACAAGTTTGCAAGGAGCTTGGTAAGCATTTGAAGATCCAAGTTATGGTCACCACTGGTGGAACCAGCTTGAAGGATGATATTGTTCGTCTGTACCAACCTGTGCACTTACTTGTTGGAACACCTGGGCGTATTTTGGATCTTACAAAGAAAGGTGTTTGCATTTTAAAGGACTGTTCAATGCTTATTATGGACGAGGTAATTTGTTTCAAGCTTTATCTGAGTGCTTTCGTATTGCTACCTCATGTAAATGGCCAGTTTTATCACTCTTGCGCTGCATTTTATTCAGCAGTGTATCTTGCCACTTGTTTGTAACCTTAATGTCAAAGAGAATCCTGTCGGAAGCAGAGTTATTTCCAAGTTGTTTATTCAATGTTAGGCTTTTCATTAACAACCAACGCTTGTGACCACCAAAAGCAAATTTATCTACAAGTCAGTGAATGTCTCACCCTAAATAGATTACCTAGTGGTTGATTCTACCTGCACCTATCTAAATTTGCATTTCAACATAGAATGGGAGATTTTCTTATTTTGACAGTCAAACTCTGAACAAGATTTGACCCAAAAATAGCAGGGTTTAGTGTTTTTTTTTTTTTGAAACAAGCAGGGTTTAGTGTTGGTTGCAAGATGGTGGTGCACTCTTTCTTGAAACGATGCTGTGCATGGCGTTGTCACTTGGACTCTGTTAAGTTAGTTGCATAATAAGATGTGTAAAATAAGAATGAACAAAGTGGTTAGAATGATCCTGAAAGATCATATGTAGGCTTTAACGAGTCCCTTTAAAACTTTCAGTTTGAAGTTATGCTTCCTAGGGACAAAAATAGTACCTAGTGGATAAAAACATGTCAGTGCTCTGTTATGCATCATTTAAGTTGCCAATGAACTGTTCTTTTTCTCGAATAATATTTTGTTTGAATTATTTTATTATTGTAATTTTGGTCCTTCATTGTTGACCTTTCCACAAAATAATCATATAGACATCTCTTCCTTTTCCAGGCAGACAAGCTTCTCTCTCCTGAGTTTCAACCTTCCATAGAACAGTTGATTCGCTACCTCCCTGCTAGTCGACAGATTTTGATGTTTTCAGCAACATTCCCTGTGACTGTTAAGGAGTTCAAGGACAAATATCTGCCTAAACCTTATGTGATTAACCTTATGGACGAACTTACACTGAAGGGAATTACACAATTCTATGCTTTTGTTGAAGAAAGACAGAAAGTTCACTGTCTCAACACCCTCTTTTCCAAGGTTTTGCTGATGAACACCTCTATCATTTCATGATTTATTTGACTAGGCATTTTGCTTCCCACCTAAGTCATAACGTGCAAGTCATTCAATTTTTTATTGTTTTGGTACAGCTTCAAATCAACCAGTCAATAATATTCTGTAACTCTGTAAATCGTGTTGAACTATTGGCGAAGAAGATCACAGAGCTTGGCTATTCTTGCTTTTATATTCATGCAAAGATGCTACAGGACCACCGTAATAGAGTTTTCCATGATTTCCGTAATGGAGCTTGCAGGAACCTTGTTTGTACTGGTATGCTATTAATTTTCTTGTGGACTCACTCTTTCACAGACATTTTTTTTTCTTATGTACAATGTTCGTAGTTCAATGTCTGTGTCAAGTCATTCGTTTCCTTATCCCTGTCAGCAATATGCTAGTTGATAGCATAATTTGAACTACTACTACGATTCATTATGTTGCTCCATAGTTCACAATGCACACTAACATGGACCTTATCCCTGTCAGCAATATGCTAGTTGATAGCATAATTTGAACTTGATGGATAAGTCTCATGTGTGGCTGGTCTTTGTGGGGCTGTGCTGCTCACATGGTCCTTGTGGCTGTTTTTCTGTTTTTAGGACATCAGCTCAGACTAGAGGACAGCATCTTAGAGGACAACATCTTAGACTAGAGGACAGCATCTTAGCTAGGACAGCATATTAGCATCTTAGACTAGCATCTTGGCATATGTTTGGCTGGCTAGCAGCCTATAAATATGTAACCCCAACCCCTCAGGTTGGTATGGCATTTGTGTGAGTTTGTGTGAGAAATAGATAAGAAAATTGCCCCAACTCCTAGTGTCATCCTCTCTCGATGAGAGTAAGAATTCTCCTACTACCAAGAGTGAGAATTCAGCGACTAACAGAACTACTACGATTCTTATGTTGCTCCATAGTTCAGAATGACACTAACAAGGAAGTTTTGGATATAAGTAAAAAAAAAAGAGTGAAATAACTGTCCATAACCTACTGAGTGATGTGATTCAATCAGTTTCCTCCTCCAAAGCATTGTAATTCGGGGTAGACAGGGGAAACATGCCCTGACTGTGATCTCGTGGTTCCTCAATATACAAAACATTTTAAGATGTATTCTCCCGAGGCTATGGAGAAGCATAGTGAAACCGAGGACATGCAAATTGCTAAGGTCAAACATTTGTCTACTAATTTAGTTCATGTGGTGAAAGCTGAAATGATTAAGATGCTAGAAATCCTTCAATGTCAATCAATTCTGTTTCCGCCATCTTTTTCTATCAGTTGGTTGCTGGAATGGTATTGTGTAAGATTATGGATGTAATGTTTCTGTTAAATAAAATGTGAAGGAGCCTTAAGCTTTTGGTCTTAGTGGCATGTAGGTAGTTTGTTGTACTGCTTGTTTCTGTTTTCTAACCAACTCTGTGCCTTTTGTTTTGCAGATCTTTTTACAAGGGGAATAGATATTCAAGCTGTGAATGTTGTTATCAATTTTGATTTCCCCAAGAACTCTGAAACATATCTCCACAGGGTAGGATTGATTTAACTGTTCCTTTTATGTGTTTTCATTTCATTTCATAACCTAAAATTTAAGTGTGACATACTATGATGCATGACTGACATATTTTAGCAGTTTTAAGGCACCTTTCAAATAAAAAAAAACTTGCCATTTATCTTGTTTGGAGTTGAATCTGTCTGTTGCATTCTACTTGTGGCATCCATCTCTGGCAATTTTAATGCCCTTTTTGGCTTGGCAGGTTGGTAGATCTGGGAGATTTGGTCACCTTGGTCTGGCCGTTAATTTGATCACCTACGAAGATCGGTTTAACTTGTACGCAGATTTTCCTACTGCAGCTTTGTTGAACTTTTCTATTCCCCACATTGTTCTGACTGAATACTGTTTCTGGGAACAGGTATAGGATTGAACAAGAGCTTGGGACTGAAATAAAACCAATTCCTCCTCAGATAGACCAGGCTATATATTGCCAATAATCTGACAAAGTTTTCATCTTCATTCATTTCTCCGCGAATAATGAGGAGACAACTTTTGTAAATACCAGCTCATCAGGTAAATCTTTTCTTTAGTTCTTTTTTGGGGTCTCGTCTCTCTGCATGATTCATTAATGCCTGCTACTCGGTTCTTTAAGCATAACTTAACAATGTCGTACAAAATGCTGTTTCAACTGATCCTTTTGCATGCTTCATAGAATGATTTAGTGGTTTTGTTGCCAGAACATAAAATTGCTGAAACTTGTTGATGTACTTTAGATTTGAAGTTGTACTCCTATATTGTTATCATTTTTTTTTTGTTTCATAGAAGTACATGTGCAAGTATGAAATAAGTGGTGTTTAACTGCCGGCTAGGTTGTTTCAACCTGCGATTGACTGTAACATGTTATTAGTTAATCTACCTTTTGTCCACAAGACATAATACTCGGTAACTGTGTTCTGACCATTTTATCCAGATCTCCACAAGGAGCCATTAACTTCCTTTAGCTGCTTTACAGATTTAATACCTTGTCATTTGCATAGTGGCGGACCTGAGCGTAGATTGTTATATGTGCAGGTTTTATGGTGTTGATCTCGTTTGGTGCATCAGAGACAATTCTATGTTGGTGGATTACGTGAGATGAGGCACCCAACTTTTCTGATTACCTTGTTATGTTGACACTATTATGGCTATATGAGGGCAAATGTCCGGCCACATTAGGCACAAAGTAGTGTATATTGCTAGGTGCCTATTCCTAGACCCTGTCCTGCTTTAGTTTCTTTGTATTTCTCTTATTTTTTTCGTCCGTTGTGTCGTCGTTAGCTGTTTCACACAGGACATTTTAACCCTGTTGCTGGTTCTGGGCGTGTGGTCTGTGGGTGCTGCACACAAGCTTGTTGCCCAAGTCGAACTTGGGGGTGTGTGCCTCAGACGGGTTATTGGGTGTGACAAGTCGGCCATTGCACTTGAGCTCTGTGGAGTCTGAACGGTAGTGAAGTGGTTAAATTTGCCAATAATCGGTGGTAAGCTGCATCATGCTGTGCTGTCTTACCCTTGCAGCCATGTCTCTTTGCTTGGTGTCATGGTCACCATTTAGATTCTGTCCGGTGATGTAATGCTTGGATAAAACGTTTGTCTCGTTTGTGCTGAAATGTGTTTGGCACAAGCAACTTGTCCAGGTTATGGGTACAGAACTGTTTACTTGTTTCTTTCATAATAACAAACTTCGCAGCTCGTTTTGTACTCTGTTTCTTTTTCGTGATACCCTGAGGTGCCCTGGTTTGAGAAATCAACAGGGATGTTTGTCTATTTAGAATGAGAATGAATAACTTGGAGTCGCGTACATCATCATTTCATCAAATGCGTTGTGTCGTTTAGATTTGGCGTTGGTTCGCCATGGTGCTGACATTGTTTCTAGTTGGGTTTCTCTTATCTATGAAGGTATATGCTGGCCAGAAATCTCCACCCGTTACTGGCTTGCCCCCGAAAAGACCAAACATAATCATACACGTAGAATCATATAGCTTTCACCATCTCTCGCCATGGCTTTGGCCCGGTGATATATAAAAGGTGGAAGCGCAAAACGACTGGGCCTGTTTGGTAGAACTGAAAAATAAGTCAAAATACTGTTCGGTTGATTGTTGTGAGGGAAAAATACTGTTCTGTTTAAGAACACTGTTTGTGTGAACAGTGCCATTGTGAGATATCTGGCCAGCTGACACGTCTTTGTTTGGCTGCGGTCCGGCCAGCATGGGAGGGGGTTAGACACGCTAGCCTGTTTATTTCGTCGTAAACGATCGTGGATTATTTACTGCTGGTTGGTTTGGCTGGTTTGGTGTGAGAGAAAAATACTGTTCCAACTTATAATCCATGATCGTATACGATCGTATAAGCCTAGCCGAACAGGTGGTTTGGTGTGAGAGATATAGCTGGTAGGCTTTCCTCATTTCTCCTAGGTGATTTTGCAGCGCCATATTTGTTTTGAGGTGTGAAGCTTTCCCCTGTTTGCTGTATCTCGTTTTCAGAATGTTTTCTGCCTTCCACCATATACGAGGACAGGTAGAGGTGAAATCCAAAGGAAGCACCAAATTATGCTTGGCCAATTGCCACAGGGGACAACTGAGCCACAGTACGTTTTTAACCGAACACAGGAAAGAACTCTGAAGGTCCCGTTCGCTTCGTTAAAAAAACAAGCTGAAACACTGTTTCGGCTGATTTAAGGTGAGAGAAAAATACTATTTCGACTGAAAAAATAAACTGAAAAGTACGCAAACGAACATGCCAGTTCATGAGTTCCATTAATACGCGAAATCTCATCGGGAAAGTAGTAAAGCTTGTTGCATGACTGAGCCAGAAAACTTGGCAGCACTTCTGGTTCTCCTGGACCATCTATCCTTTGAGAGAAGAAAATTACTACTACTGCATTATCCACGCTACAGTACAGAGCCTGCACAGTGCACACGTACAAGTACGTCGTACCGCAAACAAATTTTAAGTACTCGTATACAGAGGCAGTAGCACTACTGTGGTAGTAGTAGGAGAAAAAGAAAGCGAGGCAGGAGCCAGGAGCGGAGCGGTCCTGGTGCTGCTGCTGTCTGCTGAGGCCCCGAGCACCCGAACACATGTCCGGCTCATGATGGCGATGCCCCTCGCCACCCTGCGACTGCCACTGCAGCAGGCAGCAACAGCAGCGCCGCAGCGAGACAGGAACTCTCTGAACTCCGCATTTACTTCCTGCCCTTGCTCAAAATCCGAGCTACGTACAGGTCAGGCTCCTCATTGAAGGCCACTCCATGGCCTTTACGCCTTCGTCTCCTCGTCGTCGCTCCTGAGCCTCAGCGCCGATTTTTTTACTCGCCGTCGCCGCAGTGCGGTGTACTACGCCGGTACCCCAACTCAACTCATCACCGTTCCTGTGGTGTGTGGTGTGGTCGTGTGATGTGGGCGTCTGCTATGCCCAGTTGCCCACCCAACTCTCGTCCTCTGCTCCATGTCCGGAGGATAAAATCAGTCGAGTCCTTACGCTGCAATGACCGAATGACAATAATTTTGTGTGGGAAATTACGATACGAACATTTTAAGCCTAATTAGTTCATGATTGAACACTAATTGCTAAATAAAAACGAAAGTGCTTCCAAACTTCACTCAACTAAACACGGGCTTACTGCATTTTCTATACTAGCATTCAACCAGGGAAAGGGTCTCTAGTTGAGTAGCTCCTCATATCCTGAGCTACAGGGAAAGATCCTCCCTGTTTATCATTTAAGTAGACTAGCAACTATTCCCGTAAAAGGAATCGCTACGAGACTCTTCGTGACCCCACAAGTGTCAGGTAGTATTACTATTGCCTTCGGCATGTTCTTTTCCATGTGTGACGCGATATTATTCGTTAAAAGCGGAAACCCCTGTGGCTACAACTAATGATAATTGCTATATCTTATGTCATTCCTCTATTAATTTTCTAACATAATACTCGTAGCAAGCGGTAGCAAGCCACTATCAGATGGTCTACCCTGTTTGCTGATGTTGATGCGTATGCTAAAATATTGTAAGAGAAAAATATTGTTCCATGACTAAAAAGTAATTCTGAATAAGCTCAAACGAATATGGTCGGTATCGGGGAGACATGCCCAGATTACGACAATAATGGGACACCACAAAGGTAAGGACTAAGGCGCGTTTGGCCGGGCCCCTTAAGACTGCCGCTCTGTTCGACTGATGGTTTCTGCGGCTGATAAACCAGCTGAAGCTGATTTGTTGTGAGAGAAAAACATTATACCATAACTAATAAGCTAAATTGATAAGTTCAAGCGAATAGGCTGGCGAGCTCTACACTATAGTACAAGAGGAGCTGGAGTCGGAGGAATAGTGCTGAGGAGCAGAAGTCACAAGAAGCTATGCTAAACAGGCCTTAAAGGAGTACGAAGCTGTGTTGTAGCGTGCGAAGAAAAAGATGGTAAGGAGTGTGAAGCTACGTGAGGAAACGAGAGAGACATAGATAGAGATGTATTGGGAAAAAGAAAATAGGAGAAGAGAGGTGTATTAGGAAGTGAGAAGATAAGGAACAAAATTTGAATCCTAACATATCAAGTATTTTATCAAGTATTTTAGGACGAAGAGAGTACGTTCATTCACGGATGAACGAAATTAAATAAAATAACTACTTAGGTGAAAGGAAATCATCGCTCTAACATTTTTCGGTTTTGTAAAATGACAATAACAAGATAGAATTATTTATCAGCGAGTGAGTGAGTCAATTGAGCATTGCTTAGATAGTTAAGTTACAATATGTTTGGTTAGGGGCGGGAAGGGGCTCACTTCGTCCCTAGCGTTTGGTTCAGAAAGGTGGGATAAAACCGTCCCTTTCGTTCCAAAAAATCAAACACAACCTTGTAGTAAAACCTACTACTAGTTTTCAGAGTTTTGGGCTACAACTTAGATTAATTATTTCTGAAGCACTCATAGGTACTTTATTTATTACTAAATTTGTTAAATATTTTTTGACCGAGTCCCTCGGAGACATTAGAGCTAGCGTGTAAACGTACTGTACATGCATTTCGTTTGGAAAAAAAAAGACAGGTGTGCGGGTCCTTACTCTCCGTGCGCTGAAATTGCTTGAAGAAAGAGGCACCTCCGCCCTGCGTTCGGCAATCAGCAGGTTTCAGGCTTCGTTTAGTTCATTGCACTGTAGCGTTTAGTTCCTCGCAGAATCGGCGCCGCCGGAATTCTTCGGCACTGTTCCGAAACTGTAGCGCAACGTAGCATTTTGTTTGTATTTGATAATAATTGTCCAATCGTTGACTAATTAGGCTCAAAACGTTCGTCTCGTAAAGTACAACCAAACTGTGCGATTAATTTTTAATTTCGTCAACATTTAGTACTTCATACATATACCATAAATTTAATATAACGATAAATTTTTTTTACATA